TCACTCGGTACCCGACGGTCGTGGTCGCAATGCCATTTTGCATCACTCGGTACACGACGGTCGGGTATATAATACCTTCATATAAGATATCATTCGACACTATACTATTATTTGCGCTAACACATGTTAACAAATCTCTATCGTTCAACGGCAATGGCAACTGTCAAGAACAACATTATGTAACAACTAGACGATGACTAGGCCTATTTCAATGTTGTCTCACCGATGGAAACTAATCTTTCGTGCTTTTGACTCCTCACATGAAACAACCTTACACTTGTATGCACTACAACAGCGTGGCATGATATATCAATGGATGCAATATTGATGGCTATGTATGAATGCGAAACTATATATGCTGTATGCTCTAGGCATAGGTCTATGCTATATGCACTCTGCTCTGCTATATATACATGCTCTAACTATTACGTCATCATCGGAAACATCAGACCATCGGGGGTACCAACATGGATACGATAAGTTGAAGCGCACGTCACGATTGTAGCTAGACTGGTACGGACCTTCACTCCGCCAAGTATTCTTGGCTACACTCAACTTATAGTTAGTGCAGCGTGTGGAACTCTCTACCGCGCAGCAGTCTAGCTCAATGGCCGACCCTTGTGTAGAAAAATAGATTGAAAATGCTATGTACATGGCATCGTCGCGCCATATATGGGACGCCATATGTACGAGAATAATTTCACGGCGTGAAACGGGAAAAATGGAAACTCGCTTTTCTAGAGGAAAACGAAAATGCGCCGAGCAGCAATCCAACAATTACGACCATTTGTATTTAATGTCTACCTACGTGCGTAGTGAAAAGACTTGTGGGATCGCCACAACTGCTCAATTGAGCGATTATAAGGCTTTATCCTCTACCTGACGGGACCTGGGTAAGCTGATGGAGTGGGGGCAGCGAACCCAACTTAGACTGCCGCTACGCGGCGTTTTCGCGCTTTGCGCGGATATCCGGCTGCAGATCGTCTAGCCTACTTACGGGACGACATGACCAGCATCATCATCCTCCGGTGTCATATACATATCCTCTTCTGTACTGTAAAATCCCAAGTAATCATAGCATGAGTAAGTTCACTAATTTGTTGTTACACAACGTTAGAACATAAACTAGGAGTGCCCCGGAACTTTGACCAGGCCATAACTATCTGGCTGGAATCCTAATTTTTCAGAGTTCCGGTTCCGGCCGGAACGTTTCAGAAACTGTTGGCCGTGACCAAAACCTTTTCTTAATTTAATTTCTGCTACAAGCATCGTAAAATGCTTCAATCTAGGAGATGCACTAAAAAGCCGTTAGATCAACCTTTGGTTCCACCTTTGACATAATGAAAAAACAAAACCTTTATCTATATAGCACAGTTTTTCTGATCTCATATCGGCAGGTAATCATACTTTTAGCATTGCAGCATTATCTAATTGTACTATGTTCTTGTGAATATGTTCCTACATCTAACAACCATGTCCTACTCGCTTGAGTGATGTGCCTGTTAATGCTGTTTCGTTCCGCTCGAGTGAGTTTGTTTTACGTAGTCCCGACCGGAACTTATTTCAAGTTCCGGCTGGGTTTCGGTTCCAACAGGAAATTTAAAAAGTTGAATCCCATGCACCCCTAACATAAACATCATAAACAATAATTTTTTTAAAGCAAGTCACAATGCAAAAGGATCTGATAAAGTGGAGCTTACGGAACTAAGTGGAAGAATGTCTCAGGTTCGACCTCAGCTATTGGCGACAAATCCCAGAGTGGGTTGGGATGTTTTTTCACTATAAAGTGTTGATGGCGTGATACCTATTAAATAAATCAAATTAGTTCAGTTTAGTCTTTCTCGCTGTTACTGCAGAAAAATAAAAGAACTAACACATGTATTGTTAACCAATGCATTCATTAATTTACAAAAGTGCAATGCCTCTAGTTTATGACTGTTGTGTCAGTCATTCATAACTTTAGTTTTGTAAATGAAACACATCGTAATCCCATAATACATCGCTTTTGTAATTATTTATCAATATCGTCAACGTTTGAATAAAATGAGTATGTAAATGAAAGCTACTAACTACTGATTAAACATTGTGTAAATGAACATGACAACTAAACAATTACCTTTTGAAACTGGCGTTGAGCGAAAGACTCGCTCCGAAGTTCTCGCAAGGGTTTCCAGAGCTACAGATGTAGTGTGAGAAATTAGCCTGAAACATTTTACAAATGAACACATTGTAAAATACGTTCTATATGTGCAAGTGATCACAGATGACAAACATTTATGTTACCAATAGATCATAACATATAATTGCTGTTTCATATATTTGTGTTAATTATCATTATACACTCTTAGTAATATATTGTAAGCGGGCGAAACCCCACACGCCAGGGAAAGTTATGGCAATGCGAGAACGCAACCGGTGTCAGGAGAATGTATGAAACAGGGACGGGAGAGTCAGCGGCGGGATGGAGGTCAAAGAGAGCCGTGACTCGAGATGGCGCCGTCTAGCTGGAAGCCCGGTCATGAATCCCCGAATCCTTGCGCATTGTGACAGCCTAGACACTGACCAGATGATCTATGACATCAGGGCCAGAATCGACCATGGAGTCACGCCAAGTGCGCACCGCGCATCCCGCCACCAAATTATCTCCGGTAGCGGGAGATAGCAGTAGGAATTTTCTCGCACCTCTGCCGTGTTCGGAGGGCCGGTTGGGTCTGAAGGGGAGCGAAAGGAGATCTGTGACGTAAGGAAGAAACGCGATCGCGGGACTGGGGCGCGACGTAATATATGGTGGAAGCCATCGCTTTCTCGAGGCTTGCGACAGCCACCCGCCTGAGCGAAGGTGTAGTGTGTAGTAACCGCTCTTGCTTTCGGTAGTGCACGGAGACTCTATGTATTGTATTAGAGATTGAGGTAAACACCAGTGAACATTACTCTGTGTCTTGCCGTTATCTCTATCAGTCTGTCTGACAGACCTTACTGACTAAGGAGTGCGTAATATCACGTGTCTACAATATGTATTAATGTAACCTTTACGTTGATTATAGTTGAACTTTTGTTCTAATTTCGTTATAGTAGCGATATATTGAAACTATAATTTCAATTCGTTGTTCAGTAGCTGCTCCAGACCATCTACCGATCCTGCCGGTATCTCTAATACGCCGCATTCTGTGTGTGAGAGTACATCTGTGCATTAGACCCGAATTTAGTAGGGCCTAAGTGCTCGAAAGAGAAAGGGTCCAATTTGCGTAGACCGCCAGACCCAGGCTATGCTCTGCAACTGTTTCACGTCGATGGAGTAACCCAACGTAGTTGTAAAGCAACGAAGCTAACATCGCCTAACTTCCCTGACGCTGTGCCTGACTACTATACCTAACAATAATTCGAACCCTAATTCAATTTTCTAACGATCCGGTCAGACAGGAGTCCAGGGGGACATAGACCTTTGTGAAATTTTATTTAAAGTTTTGGTTTTTTAAATTTGGGGGGGAGTTTTTTTGGCTTAGTATAGTCTTAGTGAGTGCTAGTATTAGCTCTCGGCCCTAACTTGTGGCTAAGCTCAACCATAGAAATAGATATATATTACATGCTTTATTGATACACAGCTCGACCCGTGTAGACGATACGGCTACACAGCCTTGTGGCAGTACAAGGGCGCAAACCAACGTGTTGAAAGTTGGGGGGGGGTCACAAGCAGCCAATAGCAACGTGATCTGCGGCGAGCGAATATCACGTATTGGTTCAATATCACTATTTCAGACGTGTGATGGAAGTGTTGCCATAATTGTGATGTCATGAATGACATATATACTCAGATCATATGTTATTCATAAAATAACCAAAATGTATCATTAATTAATTAAGCTAGTAGGTAAAGCCTCATACACATGCACTGTACTAACTGTGTGACACAGTTAGCATGAAGAGGAAAATAATAATGATGAAAATAATAATGCAAAAAAGTGACTGACACGTGAAAACAGAGAACAGTGTTAGAAACCAAATGTGACCTTCATTGAGTCACACTTTGCAACAAAATCCTTTGCAATTGCTTCAATATCGATTCCAGAACACGTGATAAAAACAATCGCGTTGATTGGTTCAATTGATTTTTTGCTGTCACGTCAGCCGGCAAAAGTCAAACTTATTTGACTTTCGCCGTCGCCGTGAAACCAGGCCTGCGCCGTGCAGTGTCAGTGCATGGAGACTGCGCCAGAAGATATCATAGATTAGAAGGTAAGGGTGAACGGCGCCGCGCGCCGACGCGCCGCTTGTGTGGAGATGGGCCTATATTTTGTGTGTGTGTCTATAACACAGTTGGCTTGCGAACGCGTGGTGAATATCGTGCTCGTTCCATGCACGTGAGATTGAATGTACTATGTAGGTCGAATCTAAATGATATTACCAAGGGTTCTATTTAGATATCTGAATCTGAATCACAGTTATCACACTGCACTTGACCACCTGGGGTTTTTATTTATTTTAACTTTTACCTGTGAAATATGGATGTTTCACGATAACAAACGCTTATCGGACTATTTTGGACCTCCCAGAAAATAAGGTCTTCCAGAAGTTGGGGAGGTCCACATAAAAGTCGGGGGGGGTCGTGACTGTGAAGCGTGCCTGATGGCCTATAATAAGGAGGCAATGTTCAAACAACCATGTTATGAGTTATAGGTAGCCATTTTATTTCTCAGCTATGTTGCTATGTGACGTCATCACGATGTACATATACGGTATCGATACATGAATCTCATATCGTAACATCCCCCTTCCTTTGAAGTTAAATACAATTCCCTTTAACAAACCATGTTCTAATAAATTGTACAATATAATGCTATTGACCATAACATGAAATGCTATACTTTTCTAAACTTCTTACTCAACCTTGCTTATTTTAATAACACTTTAAATTAATAAATGTTTGCCCATACAGCGGCCATTCGAGAGCGATTAGCGTAACAATGTACTCAAGTAAGCTTATATTATTTCAGTGTACTTCCCTATGGTTCCTATAAGACATATTATTAACTCTCAAGAAAACCTTAACAGGTAACACATGGATCCAATAACTTGCTTGACCCAACAACAAATGTAACAATAACGGCAGTCTTTTGACACTGCCATATCCTTCAACTACATAACACATTAGGGGCCAACTTGGTGCCCTCCTTCCTTCCTTAAAAAATAATAATGCAAAGAATTATATTTGCTTACATCAACCAAGAAAAATCATGTCTCTGACTTTTCATTATATTCGCGTAAACCTGGGTGTATGTTCACTAGAGCTGATATCTGGCCGGTTTTCGAATCTTGCGACCTGATCGAGTGGTTCTATAATCAGAGTGTGTGTTTGTGTTCTGCGTTGGGTGTGTTTGCGCTATTACTGTCCCTGCTACTGGGTGTGTGATGTTGGTGTGGTGCGGGGTCGTCAGCAAAGTGTATACGTCTGGCAATTTCTTGCGCATTATTGGGCGTAATACTGACCGGAATCTCCCTCAAGTTGGAGCGATTGCGACGACGAATAGCGCCGTTAGGGGTGGCGATCTCGTACGACCGTGGTTCGGCACACACCCTTGAAATCTTCGCGGGTACCCACGTGTGTTCCTGCGGGTGTAGGGCACGGACCTGTTGTCCTACGTGAAGTGGTGGGAGCTCTGTCCCAGTATGTTTGTCATGTGTTTCCTTCCTTCTAGATTGCCTCTGCAGGAGATGCTCCGTGTCGGATGCATTGTCTGCAAGATGGTGGCCAGGAAGACTGGTCCTGATGGGTCTTCCTAATAGAAGTTCAGCTGGAGACTTCATGTGCGAGTCAACTGGTGTCGCTCGGAGGTGGAGCATTGCGATCTGTGCGTCTTGACCAGTCATGATGCACTTCTTAAGCATTGACTTGACAGTCCGTACCATGCGCTCTGCCAGTCCATTGGACCTAGGATAATGTGGTGATAAGGTTACGTGGGTGATTGACCATTTCTTGCACATTTCCTGGAATGGTCGTCCGGAAAATTGGGGGCCGTTGTCTGATACGATTTCTGCAGGTGGACCAAACAGGCTACAGACCCCACCCATCACTCCTGCTACTGCTGCACTTGAAGTGTCTTTCAGTTTGTAAAGTACTGGGTACTTTGAATGGTAGTCTGTGATGAGGAGATAGTCCTGTCTGTTCAAGGTGAACAGGTCTGTTCCCAGCTTGGTCCAGGGAGCTGTTGCAACATCATGTGGTTGGAGAGGCTTCTTTTGCTGTATTGTTTGCAGTTGTTGGCACCCAGGGCAGTCCTTTGTGATATGCTCGATATCATTGTTAATTCCTGGCCAGAAAACTGTTTCACGGGCTAGTCTGCGCGTTCGCTCAATGCCCATGTGTCCTATGTGGAGCTGTCCTAGGATGTCTTTTTGTAGTGTTGGGGGAATTACAACCTGCTTCCCTTTAAAGAGAACTCCATGTGAGACGCCAAGCTCGTCTCTGAATGTCCAAAATGTGCGCAATGCCGTGGGCACCTCCTTGATGGATTCTGGCCAACCATTTGTCACCTGTTGCCATAGGGCACGTAGGACGGGGTCAGCAGAAGTTTCCTTCTGAAGTTCCTCTCTCTTGCTATGGCCAAAGAACATGAGATCAATGTCTAGTGAGCCTTTAATCTCTGTGCCGATGGAATCTACCGCGACATCTATGGAAATGTCCTGGCTGTCGGCAGGATTTGGCATCCTGCTCAGTGTGTCAGATAGCACCATGTGCTTTCCAGGTTTGTACCTGATGTCACACTTATATCCTTGGATCTTGATGAGTAACCTCTGAAGGCGAGGCGGTGCACTCTTGAGTGGCTTCTTCCAAATCATTTCAAGAGGTTTGTGGTCAGTTTCCACGACAAACTCCTTTCCAAAAAGGTATGTGTGGAAGCGATTGATACCGAATACGAGCGCTAGCATCTCTCTTTCAATGTTTGAATAGTTAGACTCGGCTGGGGAAAGGCTTTTCGATGCAAACGCTACCGGCTTGCCGCCCTGTAGTAGGCATGCCCCTACTCCTTTCATGGATGCATCTACTTCCAGGGTTGTGTCCTTCTGTGGATCGTAGTACTGGAGACGCGCTTGCTTCGTGATAGCATCTTTGAGTATGCTGAAGGCATGTTCGTGGTCAACGTCGCAGAGGAACGGAATCTCTTTCTTGAGTAGTTCCCGCAGTGGTGCTGCCTTCTCAGAGAAGTTGGGAATGTATCCAGCAAGGAATGTGAAGAGTCCGCATGGCATCGCTGGACGTCCTCCTTGTCTTGAGGCGTTGGCATTGCCTTGATGGCTTCCACATTTCCTGAATCTGGGTGGATTCCTGTCCTGGTATAGAGCGATCCGAAGAACGTGATGCTCTCTTTCTTGATGTCGCATTTCGTGCTGTTGAAGACGAGGCCCTCTCGCGCTGCTCTATCCATCAACTGACGCAGATTTACGTCATGTTCTTCTTCAGTCCGACCAACGACAGCTATGTCATCCGCGATGCATACATCCACTAATGATCCTGTTCATGTGCTGCTGGAAGACATCCTGACTGACGCAGAGGCCAAAAGGGAGACGTTGGAAGCAATATCTGCCAAATGGCGTGCGAAAGGTTGTGAGTTCTTGCGATTCCTCTGCAAAGTGAACCGACCAATAGCCGGCTTTTGCATCCAACATAGAGTATCTTGCTCCAGCAAATGTGGGGTTAACTTCCTCTAATGTTGGTGTCTTGTGTGGACACCTCTTCAAGGCATCGTTGAGCCGTTTGGGGTCGAGACACAAACGAAGGGACCCATCCTTCTTGACTGCCGTAGTCATGGAACTACACCAATCGGTATGGTGTTCGACATGGCGAATGATCCCATTGCCTTCCATGTTGTTCAATTCTGTTTTGATCTTGTCTCGTAGGTGTACGCTACATTTCCTGGGCGGATTAATCGTCGGTTTGGCGTTCTCCTTCAGATGCAGGGTAGCCTTTCCTTGAAAGTTGCCGATGGTGTCGAACTGCGTTGGATACTTCCGTTTCAAGTTATGAACGCCCTCGATTGGTCGCATATAAGGAATCGTGCTACGTACCTCATTGATCGTGACTATCACCATGGCCTTGCAGCCAGGTAGGCCCAGGATGGCTGGTCCTTGAACGTCGACTACATAGAATGTTTGATCTGCCCACTTTGATCCCTTGTACTGACATAGTAGATCTATGGTGCCAACGCACCGGATCTCGGTACCATTATACGCTTTGAGCTGCGTAAGAGTTGGGCTTAATTCCGAGCGCCAACTACCGCCATACATGTTCTGTAAGATACGCAATGGTAACGTATTACCACTTGCCCCAGTGTCTACTTTCAACCGCAAGCAGTGTTGTCCCGATTTCTGGGGGCATACAATATCAATATTCACGAATGCTTCAGTGTCGGCTGTATGTTGCGTATCAATGGTATGAAAGAACTGTATGTCTGGCGACGGATCACTGTCAGAACCGCTATCCTGTGGGTCCAGTGAATACATTTCATGAATCGGTGTCTTACTGGTGGCACGGTTGTGTTGCCAACCTTTACCACGATGCTTTGAGCTTGGTCGTTTGTGATCATGACCGCCTTCTTGCCTTTGCGGGCTATTATAGCTCTGCTGACGCTGTGATTTTTTACAGACCCTGGCCCAGTGGCCCTTTTTGCCGCATACGTTGCACGTGTCACTGTATGCAGGGCATCGCCGGGGCGGATGTGTGCGACCACAGTTTCTGCATGTCTTGCGCAATGTGTGGTGCGAAATCGCGCTGACCGACGTGCCCGCATCCAGGGTTTGTAGACACTGGCGACCTGCCGCGAGGGCCTCGTACTTCCTGCCCTCTGACAAGATATTGCCAATTGAGTATCATTGGGGTTGGTCCAACAGGGTCTTCTGAAACGCCTCTATCTGTGTGGAGGCAATAATCAACTCTATGATTCTCTTCTTGAGTTCCTCCTCAGTGAAGTCACATTCACGTGCTTTATCACGGCAACGGTTAACAAACTCATCTATCGTTTCCTCGTTCCGTTGCTTGTAGCGCATCAGCTCCAACCTATGTATACGGAAATTTACGTGCACCTTCAACAGTTCTCCTATCGTGGCCCAAATCATTTCCGGCTTTGCGAGGTCAGATTCACTAAGCCCGGACGAATTAAGTCATTTAAGGCCTTCACCCCCAAGAGCGATTTTGACTTTGATCGCTTGCTTAGTAGGGTATTTGACCTCCTGGTCCTGGAGCACAAGCTCCATGCGCTGCCTAAATAGCTTAAATTCACTTGGAAAGTCGCTTGCCTTCCAGTTTATCTCCGGGTATTTTGCCATTGTACGTGGTACACTGCGTTGGCGATATAAAGAATGATGTGAGTGTGCTTACTGTATAGTACACTAACTGTACGTAATTCAAAATTGTTCCAAAATACAATGTTTGTTTTAGTGTATTATATAATAAAAACAATTAATTTCAAGTACCACACAACCAGGATTAGGCTAGCTTACTTCAGTATGTGCTTAGTAGCTACCAAATACTACGTCTGTGGGCAGACAACTACACACTGTGACTGTGTATAGCAAAAACAAAATAAGCCTCTGCTGGTAATAGTAGTATAAAAGTGAAATTCCGAGCATCTAAATCAAGCCAATTCTGTAATTCACTATTATCAACAACATCACTGTCAAATACTAAATCCTTTGAAGTTGTAAGATTCACACGTAATAACTGCTTACTATTATCGAATACATTCCATTAATAACACATTACCATAGTAACCATGCAGCAACGTCCGCAACTGTACTGTAGCTGGACAGTATACCAACGGTTTGGGTCTGGAGTAGTGTCACTCAGATAATTCAACTTCTAATTTCTAGTTCTAAGTCCAAGTCCAGTCTTCAAAAAGACTAAATCTGAGTGTGAGCTTGATACATATAGACTCTGGTAGTCTAGATTGTCATTGGCATTGCTGATCAATGCTTTAAGTTCAGATTCAATCCGTCGTAGCGTGTCCAATGTCTGGTGCTTGGCAGGGCTAAAATGGTGGCGCAGTTTTCGCCACGTCGCTATCTTGAGTAGATCTGCCCGCTATGCACGGCCTACACGCGCTGGTCGAGTCCACCGCCGTTGATGCCGTCGCTCCGGGGCCGGTTACACGCACGGAGGCCGTTCCCACTTATCTGCCACTGTCGGCTCGAACTCGAAGCTGACGATGAAAAGATCATAATTACGTATTCCGATTCGAAACTGTGTTCTCCGTGATAGCTTTGCTGACTGCTGGATTCTGTAGAGTCGAAATAAAGCTAATAGTGGCAGTTCTCTGTCATGTGAATTGTGATTATCCACTGCGTACATGCGCCCTGTAGTTTGGTATCCAGCTAGTAGCTAGTGTTATCGGCCTAGCCCTAGCCTAAGTTCATGCATGGCGCACCGCTGGCGTTGTCATGTCCAAATCAATCTGGCGAAAAATAAAACTCAACTCCAACTCCTCTGTTTCGTTACCGCTGCCACCATGTGAAGCGTGCCTGATGGCCTATAATAAGGAGGCAATGTTCAACCATGTTATGAGTTATAGGTAGCCATTTTATTTCCCGGCTATGTTGCTATGGGACGTCATCACGATGTACATATACGGTATCGATACATGAATCTCATATCGTAACAGTGACCCCCCCGACCCCCCAGTGGTTGCGCCGATGTGCAGTACACGGGTATAGTATTACTATAGTATTAGTAGGCCTACAGTGAGTGGCAAGCTACCTCCACTATAATGTAGGTCCCTTACTACTGTTACCGTAGGTCCGTTACTAATGTAGGTAACGACTAGCATCATTAAATTGTATGATCAAGGACGAAATAGGCCTATGTCACTATCACTATCACTGAGTATCAGGACCAGACCGGAGCGTAGAACGTAATAACGTATGCAGTTTCAATAAACATAATAATATTAGTCCGGGCTAGAAGGCACAAGTGCTTGTTTTTGAACATATATAATGTTTTTGTTTTGTTTCCTGTCAATGTTTATGTGCTGATTCCAAATCCGATGTATGCCAGCTCGTAAGTGTTGAGCATTTTTTTCTAGAACACAAAATCTAAAATGGCCACCAGAAAATACACTTTTTTGTAAATAACGGCGATAATATTGTATTTAGACCACAAGTATGTATGGAACATGTATATAAACTTGGGTATTGCGGACATTTTGGTACCAATACCATTACTCTAGCAAATGTAGTTCTTGAGATATGAATTTCTTGAGATTCCCAACGTGACTAGTCTGGGCTATGTTCAGGGACATATATAACAAGTTTGAACAATTTTTCCACAATTCAAACCAGCTGGTTCCAAATCTGATGTATGCCAGTTAATACAAGTTGAGCATTTTTGAATAAAAACAATTTAAAATGGCAGCCAAAAACCTTATGGCAGACATAGATTTTAGTGATTATGTATTGCCAGTTTCCAATTACGGAACAACAACTTTGTTAATCAAGTTTAAAATGTATTACTAATAGTGATAGAACAATCTTATCTATTATATTTACCAGAATGAACATTATATGGACAACCAAGATAGCCCTCATGGCCAAAAATGTTTATGTAATTCACATCATATATCAGTTTTTGTGATACATGTCTTTTGCCAGCTATCTTTCGTATGAAAAGAGCTGCTCGCATGGTGTTCAGAGATTCGTCATGCTTCTGTCGGTACAACATGCCTACATATCCCAGACAAGAGTCGACGATTTCATCCAGATGAGACGGGATACTAGAGAAGCGTTGCCGAAAGGAGGTGTTGATCCCAAGCGCTAGTCGCAGATCTAGCCGCGCAGTTCGCGCAAGGCGCACGCGACGCGGGCGAACGTCCTTACGACAGTATGCAGCGCTTGCCAGCTATGGATCGTGCGCGCGAATGCATAGGCCGCGCGACGAAACGCATAGCTGCCATGCGATCCAGTCGATAATTTACACGGAAACAATGAAACAGGCGAGCTGCCATTGAGCTGCTGCTTCTTTGCAAGTTCAATGAAAATATCTATAAAAGTGTCACACCTTCTACTTCTCACTGGTGTTGTCATAAGTTTTATTATGAATTGGTAGTTTTAATTGATGCGTCAGTGCTTCATTGTAAACGAAGCGGCAGCTGCGCAGCGGATCACATAAGCTGGGTTTTATAATAATATTATCGGAAAATGAATACGCCTCGTATTCATGCTAATAGAAAGTCTCAGCCTATATAACAAACAATGACGACGCTAATAGAGACCATATAATGAACACAGCCAACCCCACCAATCCTGCGCGTCGATCATCCCATATTATTGCGATAGCCGTAATCTAGCCTCCGTTCAGCTACGTTGTTCAACCGTTAATTTTACCAGGCAATACTAATGAAACAGCTGAGCTGCCATTCGAGCGCTCTTCTTTTGCAAGTTTAATGAAAATATCAATACAATAGTGTCAACCACCGTCTACTTTCTAGTCTAACACTGGTGATGGTATAAGTTTTATTATGAATTGTAGTTTTATTATGCCTCAGCGGCTTCATATAACGAGCCGCAGCTGCAGCGAAAGCATAAGCTTGGTTTTATTTACATAGAATTAATATATATATATAATTTAATAATATTAATACATGCGCAAATCATATGCCTCGGTTCAAGGATAGAGAACATGGTCTCAAAAACTAATGTCATTTACATCAATATAAATATATCTATATCAATATAATTAGTTAGGGTTATGGTTAGGGTATTGTTAGGGTTAGGGTTAGGGTGAGATAGGTTAAGGGTTAGGCACATTGGTTTTATTGGGACCCTGTTCTCTATCCTTGGGCCTATGCCCTCATTCATGTACATAGAAATGTTCACCTATAATACAAACAATGACGACGTAATAATTCACATAATAATCACATAGAGGTAGCCTAGTATGTTGAGTATATCCTAGGCGTTGTTGATAGCCGTAGGAGTCGGTGCATGCTATATATATGCGTAATATATAGGGGTTGACCGTCAAGGTAACTCGCGAGCAGGCGAGTTTCGAAGTTTTTCTGCGAAGTTTTGTCTGCACAAGAGCAATCAGGGCCCCCTCGACCGCAGGGGTAGACGAAGTTTTTGCTATAAGCAGCACGCTGGGGACATGTAATATATGCAAAAATGGGCGTACGTACGCTTTTGGTAGTTTTCCATAGACTGAACGCACAGGCACTTGAAGCGTTTCAATAGAATATAATGCTAACTAAATACACTCGCTGTATTTCATACGAATTTCAAACAATACTCATCAACAGTCCGTAAATGTATTTACTTAGTACAAAATTCTTAATGTTTCTATACTATAGGCTAACTGTTTCACCTACGGATTACAAGTAAAAAACCGCGTCGTATAAGAACATAGATTTTTTCCAAGTTAGCTTCAACATGTTCTTATATAAATGGTGCTTAGCTGAAAAATTTGGCTCATAAAGGTCTTAAATAGGCTTCTTAATTGTTTCTACTTTTAATGA